TAATGAACCCTTTGTGTCCCCTTTGGTGAGCACCCCATGACTCTGGTGATGCATTCCTAGGGATTTCTTCCACTCGGGACAGCACTCCCCAGAAATGCTGTGGGGGTCTCTTGCGATGGCTTCCGGTGACTTCTTGGTCAGCAGGTGCAGATTGGAAAATTACGGACTGTATTGGAGTCACTTTCTGAAAGGATTCTGGGTGCATCCAGGGTCCCGGTTTGCAGGTTCCTTTTGAAACTTGAGCGTGGCCTTCTTTACCAGTCTCCTAGTAAAAGACCCAGAGTTTTCTCTCTGTTGCCTTTTTTCTTTCAAAAATCACCCTTTTCCTCCTTTCCCACATCCTGTAAGCTTTTGAGTTTTTATAGTAAAACTACTTTCAGGTGGGTAGAAACTTTTTTATATCCTTGAAAGAAACTTATAAAAAAATCTGGAACAACCCAAGCTCACCTTCCTTTTAAGTTTTAATAACATTTACGCACTTTTTTTCCTCTCTCCTCTCTCAACAAGGAGGTTTTTGTCTTCTGTTCTTAGAAGTTGATTTTTTTTTTTTTTTTTAAGAATCCATTAAATTATACAGTGCCTAAAACAGGTGGGCCTGACACTCTGATCGATTGTCAAGCATCGCAAGTCAGAGAGCTGCCTTGGCAGCCTTCTGGGGGTTGAGTGGGCGTTTGTGGGTGGGGAGCCGGGTACCGTACCCCTTGAGGAGAAAGGGGACCCTCCTTTTGTTGCTAATTTGGTAAAGACTGAAGTGAGGCTCCAAGTGAGGGTAGATAAGTAGAGATTTAAGTGGTTCGAGCTGTTGTGAATTCCAGGCACGTGCGTGGCGGGGTTGAGTACGCCACCGTGCCATTTGCTTACGAGTGGCAGACAGATCGTCTGACACTGTGCTCCCGGCTGCCTCGGTCGGTTCCTGCCTTCACTGTGGTTCATGGTGAGATGCAGATGGCATCTACCTGGGCAGGATCTGCACCCAGGAACTGGGACCCCAGCCTGGAGCGAGGGCCTGACTTGCAGGGTTGTCTCCCTTCAGACACCGTCCCCATGCCTGCACCCCCGGGGGGCCTTTCTGTGGACCTTTATATGTGTGACCTCATTTGTTTATTTATTGATTCAGCTTTGTTGTATAAAATTCACATGTCACACAAGCCACCCATTTAAAGTGTACAATCCACTGGTTCTTAGTACGTTCACAGAGTCATACCACCATCCCCACAGTCCACTCTAGGGCAGGATGGAAACTCTGTGGCCATGGCCATGGTCCCCAATTCCTGCCCCCACCGCTCCAGCACGTCCCGGCCCCTGGCTCCCGGCTGTCACTCTCCTACTGTGTCTTTGTATTTACCTATTCTGGACATTTTGTCTCCCACCTAATTATATATCAATTGGTCACCGTCTCCCCATCCCTGCCCCCCCCCACCACCTGCACCTCTGGAAACCTCTTTTTGTGAGGTCAGCTTTTGAGGCTCCACATGTGACTGAGATCATGAGATGCTGGTCCTCCTGGGCCTGGATTATTTTTTTTTAACATAACGTTCTCCAGGTTCACCATGTTGAACTGCTGTAGCCGGGCAGTAGTGCTGTGTGTCGACGCACCCCGTTTTCTGTATCTGTTCATCTACTCAGGGACACACTTGATCCCGTGTCCCAGCTATTGTGAATGGTGCTGCAGTAAACGTGGGAGTGTGGACGTCTCTTTGACACCTGTGTGGCTTTGTCTGTTCCTCACGCCAGCCCCGTGAAGGGATGATGTTCCCACACGCGGACTGAAAGCCCTGCCCAGCAATGCTCCCCAGGATTCGGTGCGGGAGATCAGACTCCCACATTTCTCTTCCTTGTTCCTTTCCCATGTTTTCAGTGCTTACTAATTGTCACTGTTGGTGAGGGGATGGAATTGTCCTAATTATTATCATTACAAGGAAAGGGGCTCTGAGATGCCAGATGATTTCCCCAGTCAATTATAGTTAGGGCAGTGGGTAGAAATCAGGATGCGGTGCGCCCTGTCCAGGCCTTGGGCCAGCCTGGCGTGTTCTCGGTGAGTGTGCCCTTAATCAGTACTGGTCATCTCAGCAGCCTCCTCTGGGGGGTCCCTGGAGGGGTGGTTGGGCCAGGAGGGCCTGTTCCTCATGTCCTTCTGCCTTGTAAAGATGACGGTGCCTTTGGCTGGAAGCAGGGTGGGGTTTCTGAACATGTTCAGGCTTTTCAAAGAGCTTCCTGACAGGTCTGTGGATCAGAAACAGAGGGACCTTGATGCTCTTGGGGATGTCGCCTCTGACCCTCCAGCTAGAGCTCTCGAGGACTCCGATCTCAGCTTAACTCTTCAGTTACTTGGATGTAGATGAGGAAGGCGCGTTCATCTGTGGGCCTGATAAGAAGATGATCAGTGCATTAGCACCAGGATTGGGACCCTCCTGTCTCTTGGTGGGCCTGGGACGGTGGCCTGAGCGCTCTCAAGGTTTTATTGGGCATAAGTTTATGCACAGTGCTGCTCTCAGGTTTCAGAAGCCTGCAGGGCACAGGCAGGGGACGGAGGCCATGTGGTAACAGCACCTGTGGCAGGTGACCTGTGGCAGGTGCTGGTTGACAGTCGCTCAGGTGCAGCTGCCAGAGGGCCTCCTCCAGGAGCTGGTCGGACAGGATTCAGCCCCAACGTGCACACCCTCGCTCAGTGTCTCATGAGAATAACCTGAGACCTGCGCTTGGGCCAGGCAGGGCTCAGGTGCACAAATGCAGAGCCGGTGGATGCAGCCTAGCCCCGTGTATGAAGCAGCTTCAGGGTTTGGATGCATTGTGCATTTACCCAGGTTCACTGCTCCGGTTGGCAGCACCTTTAACTTGATGTTACATTTTTTTTAGAACAACTTTATTGTTTTCATTAAAATAAAAACAAAAAGAAAACAGATGACCTGAACACAGAAGAAAGTACAAGAAGAAAGCCATACAGTGGTCCCGATTTTAGCTCCTGGAAATGACCCATTTTAATGTTTGATGAGACAGTTTATTAGATATCTCTGTGACCATTTCGGACAGAATTGATAGCTAGAGAAATACATAAATAGATAGGTCATTTTACAATAAGGTGTTACTTCAGCGCATATTAATTTCCAAATAAAATCATATCTAATTCTACTTTCATTTGACAAAAGAAAATGAAGCTAAGTTTGTACTAGTCGGTGTTCTCTGGAGGAACAGAGCCAATAGGATGGGAGTATAATTATACGAGGGGCATTATTAGATTGACGCACAGGATCAGAAGCTGGATAGTCCCACAATGTCCATCTAGGGCTGGGGAGCTGGAGGAAGCAGTAGTTGCTCATCTAAGAAGCTGGAGCCTCAAAATAAGAAGGACCAGCCCGAGGCTGAAGGCCTAGAAGCCCCCTGGAGAGTCAGGGTGAGAGTCCAGGTTCCAAAGCTGAAGCAGCTAGAGTCTGATGTCCACGAGCCATGGCACCAGCAAAAAACCGCACCTGCACAAGAGTAATTGACCTTGCACACCCTGGTGGGCTTCTGGCCTCTTCTGTTCCATGTTCAGTCCGGTCTCCAGGCTGTTGGATGGTGTGGTCCACATTTAGGACAGGTCTCCACCCTCAGTTTGCTGACCTCCTGCCAGTCTTCTCTGGAAACTCACTTGTAGACACGTTCAGGGTGTCCTTTACTACTTTCTTAGGTGTCTCTCAATCCCATCAAGTGGACAGTCAAGATTAATCATCACAGAAGAAGTACTAAAAAAGAAAAAGAAAGAAAAATTTAAAAAGTCGGAACGCCCGATGACGTCTTTCACCACAAGGAATTAGGTTTTTGATGTCCCTGTGAGACAGTCGTTCTTGATGGTGGTGACTTTGGTTGGTCGCAGTTGTTGACAGCTTTGATCGGGCTTCTGTGCTGGGAGAGGTGGTGATGAGCTGCATCGTAGCTTCTTCCTTCTCCCCTTAAAACCCAAACCAAGGGGCCACATGTTATTTGAACCTTATTGAGCTTCTTAAAATGGATCTTCTATTCTGCAGCCGTAACCCCCTGAGCATTTGGTCTTAGTTCTTAAATGACTTGGTGCCACACACCACACCTTTAACCACAGTTTCCCCCTTTCTGGTTGTTTTTTGAGTCTCCTCTTGGGGAATTGCTTTGATCTCAATAGACATGTAATGTGTATGGGCAGGAGGTGTCGGACTGGGCTGTGGTTTGCCCTGGTCAGAGCTACACCTGCAGATTGGAGTTTGTGTCTGTACTGCACTCAGAAGACCGAGGGAGACCCCATGGATTGTCTGTGGGATAGTGGGGGCGGGGTGTTCAGCAGGGTCCCCTTGCGCAGTGGGATTGGATTTGTGTTTTGGCTTTGAAAAGATGTCAGTGTGGAAGCAGGATGATCGATCTTCACTCCAAGGATTCCCAGAGGGTTAAAACTAGGGCTGCATGAGCATCAGCGCAGGGTGTCTAACAGGCTTTCCGGGGAGGGTGATGGGTTCCTTGTGGGCTGAGGGACGCTGGGGAACCACCTGTTGCCATTTGGGTGCCAGCCGAGTGGCTATGTTTCAGTGACTTTCCAACCTTAAGATTCTGATAGTCTAATAATGCTCCCTGATGGCCACCTGTCCCGGGGGCGAGTCCCAGTCGCGCTGGTTCCCTCCTCCTTGCTGTTTTGGGACAGAGGTGAGAGCAGCAAGGGCCATGTTGCGTGAACAGGTAGCTCAGGATAGTGCCTTAAGTGTTCTGTGCATCTTAAACTGCACGCACCATCTCCTGGCTCACGTGTGTACGTGTTAGCTTCTGCCAGCTAGTTCTGGTCAGTGTCTGTAGCATTTGCAAGATGACAAGGACGGAGTACGTTTTAACCCCCTCCTGGGGCAAGGCATGTATAGACAGCTGGGCAGCATGTCCTAGATCCTGCAAAGGAAGATGGCGTCCCTAGACCCTGCCCTGCATACTTGGAATTGGGTGTTCTGTGCCTGTTGGACTGGGTGTCTGTCACAGTGTCACTTACTGATGGCTTTCTTTTGTTGCAGGGGAGCTATCCAGTTTGGGAAGACTTCATAAACAAGGCAGGAAAGCTGCAGTCCCAGCTGCGGTAAGTAGGAGCCGGGGCTCCGTGGAAGACAACACTGTGCTTAGAGGAGGCTGGAGTCGGGGACCAGCAGGCAGACTGGGGTTAATTTTGGAAGCATGACATCTAGAGAAGCGTGGTGGGCTCTGACTGGAGCAATACCATCCATTAGCCATGTGACTGGCCCTGGCTTCCCACGTGTAGAATTGGACTCACCTGCCCTGCCTCAGGAAGTTGAGGGTCTGGCGTGTAAGGCAGCAATGGGCAACATTTATGTAGTGCTCACTGTATGCCCGGCACATGTCAACCTATCTAAGTATCACAACCCCACGCGGTAAGCACCATCATCAGTCGCATTTTACTGATGAGGAGATGGAGACGCAGACATGCTACTAGTCATGTCATGCCACTAGTAATGACAGAGCAGAGATTTGAGCTTGGGCGGTCAGGCTGTGTCCAAGTTCTCACCCCTCTTATGGCTTTTGCCCACGCAGTGTCTTCTAGTTCTGTTTAGGTGAATGTCTGGACATAGTGTATCTACAGAGGCAGATGTGGACTAGTGATTGCCTGGGGTGAGGGGTGGAAAAGGAAACTGACTACAAATAACGTATTAAGAGGTGTCTTTTGAGGGTGCAGATGTTCTAAAATTGGGTTGTGGTGATAGTCGAGCAACTCTAAATTTACTGAAAGTCATTGAATCGTACACTTAAAAAGGGAGAATTTCATAGTATGCAAATTATGCCTTAGTAAAGCTGCCTGGAAAAGCAAACAAGATCTGCTGATCTGCTCTGGGAAGCTATTCTTATTGCCTGGTGTGCTGGTTCCCATAGCATGTGATGCGATAGAAAATAGCATCTTGTTGAAACTCCACTGTTAGTTCAGTGCAGACAGGACTCTGTGCCTGGCGGGTACCTCATGAAGCAGGGAACATTTAAAAAAGGAGTTACTTGATGACCCCCATTCATAAAAGTTTTGGGTGGACAAGGATAGTTTGAGAACAGAGCAGGTCAGGAGGTGTTTTCTAGATTAAAGAGCCACCTGGATGACAGACAGATAAGGGAGGAATGGTGTGACGTTCCTGGGCCTCTGTCTGAGCAGATTATTGTTCTGAGCTTTAGCAGTAAGACTGGAGGTTCCATGGCTCCCCTGTAGGGAGAACTGGGGAGGGGTGCATGTTTTCCCTTCCATCCCTTCAGCTTTGAGTCGGGGCCCGTGGCTGGGATTTGCAGTGACTCAAGTGGGCCTCCAGGTCCTCGCTGGCCTCCAGCATATGGCGCCTCCTCCAGTTGTCCAGTCCTTTCCAATTTCTCTGCTTAAGAACTTGTAATTACATTCTGCTGATGCAACCTCCTTGGCTCGGAATTCAAGGTCTTCCGCCGAGGCCCCCGTCAGCCTCACCTCACTGAGCTCTGTCTACTCCCCCACCCGTCTCCACCAAGGCCACCATTTATTCCACCCTGTGGGAGCTCTCCTCCTGCATACAACATTGAAATACATTTTCCCCAACTTTTTCCTGTCTGGCCTCCTTTAATTCTCTGTCAGGCTTTTAGAGTTGACCAGGAAGATGGTTCTGGTTCTCTTTTGTCAAGGAAGATGCTAGGGCTTAAAAGCCTTGAACTCGTTAGCCATCTTGAATATGGCAAGCAAAACCTAATCTTACCCCATGGATACAAGGTATATCTTATAATGTTTAATGACATGCAAGCCTCTTTGTTATTTTGTCAGGCTGCTCGTCTATGGCTGAGTTTAACTTTCTGTGTTAGAGGAGAAAGACTGCAGAAGCAGCCTCGAGGCCTTGACGTGTTCAAGCCGGATCACTCCTGGCCGTTGGTGATTCCCTATTTACTCTGTGCCCTTAGAGAGGACCAAGAAGTTGTATGACAGTGTCAGAAAGTACAATATGACTGCCATTTAAAAGCTCTTAATTCCTCCAAATTGGCCATCATCCTAAATTTTCTGGGAGCCCCAGTGACTATAATACACAGGTCTCCCCCACAGCTGACTCTTGAGGTTTGTATGAATGGCAATGAGTTGAATGAGAATAAAGCAAACCGTGTGTCAGGTATTAGCTGCAAAACAGAATGAGGTATTTATAAGTTCTAGGAGGCTTGATAAAGCTAACTTTTGGAGAGTTTGCATTTGATATCATTTGATATCAACATTATGTAGTGCTTATTGTATGCCAGGCACACGTCAACCTGTCTAAGTATCACAGTCCCACAAGGTAAGTACCATCATCAGTCGCATTTTACTGATGAGGAGATGGAGACGCAGACATGCTACTAGTAACGTCATGCCACTAGAAATGACAGAGCAGAGATTTGAGCTTGGGTGGTCGGGCTGAGTCCAAGTTCTCACCCCTCTTATGGCCTTTGCCCACGCAGTGTCTAGTTCTGTTTAGGTGAATGTTTCAGAGTAGGTGTTTTTGTTGTTGTTATTGTTGTTTTGGTTTTGTGTGTGTGCATGTGCATATAATTATTATTGAGAATTAAAGTGGAGAGTTTTCTTGCTCTACTAGAAATTATCAGGCCTCATTTTGAAGTTTGGCTCTGAGGGACAACTCCCAGCACCTTCCACAAATCTTCTGTTTCATAGCCACGGTTGCTATGTTTTAAGGCCATTTCTCTCCTTTATCTTCCTTACTTTCTAGTCTTACTTTAGCAACTTTGCTTCCTTAGAAATGCTCAGTAGAGATTAGATTCATGCAAGAAATTCTAGAAGGTTAATACTGATCTCTAAGTTCAGTTGCGAGGTCCTCTCTTGCGAGCTCTGGGCTTACTTGGAGCCTGTGGTACTGGCCCGGCCTGCTCACTACTCTTCCTCATGTGACATCTTAGGCCACAGCGCTGGGATCCAGTAGACCACACAGTACCCAAGAGGATGTTCAGAATCCAAAAAAGTTTCTAGGACAAAAAAATGAGAACAGTAAATTCTCCTCATTCTCAGCTTTTAGGAATTCGGAAGGCACAGTGGAAATTGCATCCTAAGGTCGAGGAAGCAAGACCTTGGTTTCATTTTAATTGGAATGCAGGGAGGAAAGTCGCACTGCCAGGGTCTTGGCTCATAGTGGTTGGAGCCGGGCCCATGAGTCATGATGCTGGAACATGAGTCCCAGCTCCGGTATAAACTAGTGATCTTCAAATTCCCTTTAGATCTGTGGCCTCGATTTCCTTTCTCGATGGTGAATTGTTGAACTCCATGGTTTCTTTCCGAGATTGAGTCCTTTGCCCAAATCACGCGTGTGTGGATCATTTTCCTAAAGCTGATTTCCCCTGCATCAGTTATATTTCTGATGATGTTTTTTTATTTCAGGTAGAAACACCTATCTTTTCCTCCTTTGTACAACTTTGCCTGGTAGTAATTCATAGGGGAAAGGGAACGAGAAGAACCACTTGGATTGATTGATGAGCGCTGAAGGAGCTGGACACTGTAGTGTGTAGGGAACGGTCAGGCTGAGTGGCCACGGGCGTCCATGCCCAGGGACTTGTTCTCCTGGGAGGTTCCATTCTCTCTGTAGCAGCGATTGCAGCCTTTGAGCTGCAGTGAATTAGCCATGCTGAGCCCTCACTCATGCTTTTGTTATCTGTTTGCATTTCAGGACAACCGTAGTAGCAGCAGCTGCCTTCTTGGATGCCTTTCAGAAAGTGGCTGACATGGCCACCAGCACACGAGGTAAGCAGATGGGAGGCTGCTGCTGAGCTCCCCAGATTCTGCACGTGGGCCCTTCCCTGGTGGCTCCACGAGAAGACACAGCTTAAGTGTTCACAGCTTAGTTGACTCATAGTTTTCTTTTAAAAAAAAAAAAAACTCTATGGGGTTACACATATTAGAAGTTATACTACTTCCCCAGATAATCAAGCACATGCGAAGAAGAATGAAAAATAAAGAAAAGGAAGCCCTGTTCCTACGCGGGGGGCTGACGTGTGTTTTGGTCACTGTGTGCTCAGCTGGCCGTGGAGTCTGCAGCTACACCCATTGATGACTTTGCTTTTCCCTGCTGGTGGGGTTGCGCTAGGGTTCTCCATGATCACTCTGGAGTGGGGAGTGTGGAGGTGATCAGTAGCCCCTTTTCTGAGTTCCCACAAAATAAGGAACCCTTGTACAATAGGTGCAGTCTGCCGTGTGTGATCACCAGTGCGTGCGTCTCCCACATTTGACTGTGGGCCCTTTGAACTAGCAACAGTGACTTCTTTACATCGGAGACCCTCCCCACCCCCAAAATAAAGCCCAGAACACGGTTGATGTTTAAAGTATGTCAGTTAAATCAGTGGGCACAGGGAAGTATTTTGAAACAGACGTAATGGTTCCAGTGAAAACAAAGAGTATTGATCATGCGTGGGAGGTATAGGAAGATGCTCCCTGCCCCACACCTCCATCTTCAGGGCTCAGCACTGCCAGCAACGTGTGACTCCCTGCTCACAGCTCAGCTCCTGCCTTCTCCTTCCAGCACAGTGACTCTTCTTTCTGCCTCTTGCTTGCCTCGTCTGTCCTTTGTACTTACAGTACGTGCCTGTTCTCATCACTGGCACAATGATACTGGGGAGTTTGGGAATTGCTCCCAGTCACTTGAGAGTTTAATTTCTCTGAAGCTCCCCCTGTGAGTTGCTCCAGTGGTTCTCAGTAGATGCCCATCTACCACGGGTCCTTAATTAAATATTCCAATAGGTTTGGAGCACAGACACTGCTCATGCATTAAGAAACTCCCCCTCGCTTTATCACGGGACCACAAAAATCAATACCTTACTCTCCGCGTCCTGGAAGAGCTTGCAATTGAGTGGGGAAAGTGAGACGTGTAAATAAAGAACGTCAGTGTGGAAGGAATCTGTGTGGTGTGGCATGGTAGTGGTGGGAGAGGGGAGCACAAGGGGAGTATACAGAAGGGACAATTAAACTGGCTCTGGGAATTGGGGAGGTTTGCCAGGGGAGGTGACAGTTCTCCTCATTTCCAGGATGCCAAGGGAGTTTCTGAAGGTTCCCTCAGACCATGTGACGGAGACATCAGGGCTGTGGTGTCTTCATCTGGTCCGTTAGCTTGGTGTGGATCTTAAGCAGTCTCATTTTAAAAGCCCATTTGAAAAATGATCAGCTAGCTTATGTGTGTCTCTTGTAGAACTTCAATAAACGTAACTGGGAGAGATGTCACATGCAGGCTACTGTTGACCGCCGTGGGCGTGGCTGAGTCTGCCCTGTTGTTCTTCTAGCTCAGCGGGATTTGCAGCTGGGTTTGTCAGCTGCATCCATATCTTTCTAGAAGAGCCCCCAGAATGTCTTTTTTTAAAAAAAAAAAATGCTGCGCTACTATTTTGAAGAGCGTATATACCTAGCATTGCATTTTTGAGGCTGAGATGCATGATGCTTTCATAGATTGCTGTTGAATTACTATAGATCCTGCAGAAGGACTAGAGAGACATCCCCTGATTGTCCATCATTTCCTGTGGTAAGAACCTGAGTTTTTGAAGAAGCTGCTCCCAGGGTGGTTCTTGGTGGGAAGCTGGAGGGCCTGGAGATTCTCATGCCTCCCAGGGAGGAAAAACAGAGCAATTATTTGTGGGAAAGAAACCAGAATAGACTCTGGTGGTGATAGGGGTAGAGGAGGAGTTTAGAGGTGATATATTTGATCAAAGTCAAATCATGTCACAGTGAACAGACCCCAGCGTGGACATAATTTTAAACTTTCGTTTGACTTCAGGTTGTTTTTCGCAATGCCAGAACACTGTGTTTAAAATCCATATACACTAATGCTTTCCGTCAGCCTGGGAGTGTGGGAACTCTCGTAGGAACTGAAGAATGCGTGGTTCAAGAAAGAAGGGCTGTTTTATGGAGATGATAAGAGAAATTCAAATGCACTTCTTGTATGTCAACAAGGGTCATATGTGATTTGAAGTCAATTTTTAGTTAAAAGTGAAAAAAATATAGAACACATTCTTTACTGTAAAGGCTTCAAATAACAAAGTATAGGCAGTAAAATCTATCCTCATCCCTCCCAGGGTTGGATTTGGTGTCCTTCACAGACTTTTTTTGCATATCTAAACAAACACATCTGGGAGAAAAATAACAAAGTGCAGAATAATGTGTGGAATGATATATGCAGTAAGAGACATCTGCATGATTTCTTTTATAAGTTAGCCCTTGGGAAACATCGTTCCTGGGCTTTTATTTCATACTACGTTGTAATTATCTGTCCCTGTCAGTACCTGTAGGTCTACCTTGTGCTTTGTGGTGGACAGGTGGAATTTCAGTGTCTGGATGCAGCACACTTCAATTATTGTTCTGCTGATGGACATTTAGTTTACCTCCAGGTATTTGCCATCACAGCTGTGCCGGGGTGAATGTCGGTGTGTACTGCTCAGTGTGATTATTTTTAATAGTGCGTGTATCACCAAGGAAATGATGAATCTGTAGAAAATGCTGCAAACTATTTTGGTCAGATGCAAGTTTGGGCTTAAGGACAGAACAGGTGGTAACTCTGAGTTGGCAGTATGATGTGTCCTCTGCTCAAAGAGTATCCTTAGTTCAGACTTTTTTTTTCAACTTTTTTTTTTTTTGTAGTTGTAGATGGACAGAATGCCCTTATTTTGTTTATTTTTATGGGGGGCTAAGGATCAAACTCAGTGCCTCACACATGCTAGGCAAGCCCTCTGCCACTGAGCCCCAGCCCCAGCCCCAGTCCATGGTTTTGCGTACAGTCTATCAGTATATTTGTTTGAGTCCCTCTTGTCAGAAATGAGTCAATAATTGACTCAGTGGCATAGCAGAACTTCTTTCTGACTGTCACTTAGGGCCTGCTGATCAGCTTCTGCCTCTGGTGACCACCATTCTACTCTCAATCCTGTGACCTCAGTGTTTTTATATTACATATATGAATGAGATCTCATGGTGATCATCTTTCTGTGCTTGGTTTATTGCAGTTAACACAATGACCTACAGTTCCATCCATACAAATGATGGGATTTTGTTTTTTTAATGGCCGAATAGTATTCTACTGTGAATATGTACCACAGTTTCTTTATCCATTTATCCACTGATGGGCATTTAGGTTTAATTGTGGTTCTGGGATGATGCATATTTAGTTTGTTTCTGTTTTTGACTCTTATGAATTGTGCTGCAGCAAACATGGGTGTGCAGATCTTCAGTATTGGCTTCAGTAATTTAATTCCCACCAACAGGGTATAAGGAAGAGCCCCCTTTTCTCTATCCTTACCAACACTTGTTGTCTTTTATCTTTCTAATAATAGTCCTTTATTTAAAATTTTTTTTAGTTGTAGATGGTCACAATACCTTTATTTTATTTTTATTTGGTGCTGAGGATCGAACCCGGTGCCTCCCACATGCAAGGTGAGCACTCTACCACGGAGCTACAACCCCAGCCCCATACTAGTCCTTCTTACTGGAGAGAGGTGACATTGTGGTTTTGATTTGCATTTCCTGGATGAGGAGTGATGTTGAGCATTTTTTTTTTCATATACCTGTTGGCCATTTGCATGTTTTTGCAGTTATTCTTAAGGTGTGTCTTTTTGGACAGGTGTCCAGAATTTCAAGCTTTCAGGTTTCTGGTTTCCAAAATAATAGTGTTTTGTATTGTTTCCCAAAGGAAAATTATTTGAACGGTTTTTGTCAAAGGTTTATCGAATCTTTTACACTAGTTATTAATAAAATTTACTTAGGAAAAACTTTTAAAATGAGTCAAAGGGCAGAATCAGATCTAGGTATTATATACCTATTGTTAAACAGAATGTAGAAATAGGTAAGAACTGTATTTTGTCCATTTTTTTTAAGATTTTATTTTTTGCTTTTTTGATACTGGGCATTGAACACGGGGGTGCTTACCCACTGAGCCACATCCCCAGCCCTTTAAAAGGAAGGTCCCCCTTTTCTCCAGGCATTTGCCATCACAGCTGTGCCGGGGTGAATGTCGGTGTGTACTGCTCAGTGTGATTATTTTTAAGAGTGCGTACATCACCAAGGAAATGATGAATCTGTAGAAAATGCTGCAAACTATTTTGGTCAGATGCAAGTTTGAGCACTTTTTTCTTTTGTTGTTGAGTCAGGGTCTCACTAAGTTGCTTAGGGCCTCACTAAGCTGCTGCGGCTGACTTTGAACTGACGATCCTCCTACCTTAGCCAGTGGGCTTTTATTTCATCCTACAAGCCAGTGCTGGCGTTATAGATGTGCCCATCTGTTCATTGTTTTTAAATGAAAAATATAAGCTGGCTATTATCATATATATATTGTGATTAATTAGACTATAATGCAATTAGAGTTGGTCAGCCCTGGACATAGATCCCTATTTTGTTGGTAGAACACTTTAGAATGAATATATAATATAATTTGTGTTAAATATGAAAGTACATCTTTTTTTCTGGATTATTGGTTACAAAAAAAATTAGTTTTTAGTTATTCATAATGTATAGAATCCCAGACTTTGTGGATTAGGGTCTCTGGCCCGTCTTAGGAGTGGAGAAGTATATGGACTGACTGGTGTCCATTTACCTGGATTATTTTGAAAAATAAGGAAAAAAATAAAAGAGAAATTGAGGAGATTAGAAAGGCCTCTTATGCATCCGGTCCTTGGCAGAGATGACCTGGGTAGGGAATTCAGTGGTGGTACCTGTGGCCTGGCCCTCCAGGGACCTCTTTCATGGGAGCCAGGCACGTGGCAGATGGCCTGTTA